AATGATATTTTATTATTTAGGGTGTACTCTTTTAATAATAATAGGCAAAATAGCTCGCTATATCACGACCTTTTACCATATTGCTAAAACATCACGACTTTTGGACCTTAGTAGAGAATATCACAACCTTTGATTTCTTTGTAAAACGATACACGAAAGTCGGAAACCGGCCATAGTTGATACACCATGGGGGAAGATTTGTATCTATTGAGAACAATACGAAGTATTTCGGAGGTGATGATACTTTCGGACTTTCGTGAAATGATTTTAAATAATGTAACGATGGCTGGTTTCCGACTTTCGTGTATCGTTTTGCAAAGAAATCAAAGGTTGTGATATTTTCCGCCAAGGTTCAAAAGTCGTGATGTTTTAGCAATATGGTAAAAAGTTGTGATATAACGAGCTATTTTGCCATAATAATATATTAAAACATTTGATATTATTTAGTTGGTAATTTATATATATATATATCTTTTTAAATTTACTAGAACAAGTTATGAATTTTACATTTTTCTAGATAAATTAATCATATGAATGACATATTTTTATTTATTAGCACCATAAACCAATGTGATTGTAAAATAAATAATACAAATTAAAAAGTTCCAAATAAACTATTTTTGTGAATCCTCTATCCCAAAAAGCTGTTCTAATAAGCTTTTTTTAAATTAGTGTTTTGGGCCAAAAAACTTATCAAATAAGTTATTTACCTAACAGGGGATTTGATGGATCAAACCTCTCTATTAAGTCCAAAAGTCTAATCCGCTAATTTATCTTCAATTCACTATCTTTCAAATGGGCCAATGTATTTCCACCCAATTCGTGCTCTACTATACCGATAATTCAAACCGACCCGGCAAATACCCGCCCCGCCGAACCGCCTTCAATTAAAAAAGTAACCAAATAGACAAAGAAAGAGAAAACCTACCCTCGACCCGCCACCGTTCCGCCACCGCCGCCATGAGCAGCGCCAAATCACGCAACTTCCGGCGCCGCGCCGATGACGATGAAGATCCGGACAACAGCATCTCCGGCACCCCCTCAACCACGAATAAGCCCTCCGCCCCCACCAAGCCCAAAAAACCCACCCCTCGACCCGCTACGAAAACCCTACTCTCCTTCGCCGATGACGAAGACGACGAGTCGCCGTTTTCCCGCCCGCCTCCGTCCAAGTCTTCGGCGTCGTCATCCTCCCGCTTCTCCAAGACATCGTCGGCTCACAAGCTCACATCCTCCAAGGACCGAAGTACACCGCATCCGCCGATCTCTACTGTCCCTTCCAATGTCCAGCCACAGGCAGGAGTCTACACTAAAGAGGCCCTTCTGGAGCTTCAGAAGAACACCAAGACCTTAGGCGCACCCTCCCGCAATAAGCCCAAGCCACCTGAGCCAGAGCCTGTAGTAGTTTTGAAGGGTTTGATAAAGCCTGTAAACTCGACTGGCTTAGATTCTGTGGCTACAGGAAAAAGTCCGGATTTGGGGGAGAACAAGATGGACATTGATGATAATCGGAAAAGCTCTGTTGCCGTTCGAGATGATGTGCCATCTCTATCAAAGAGCATCAAGTTAGGGCCTGGTTTGCTTGAGGATGATGAAGAAATGCCAGACCAGTCAATGATAGAGGCAATCAAGGCTAAGAGAGAGAGGTTGAGGCAGGCCAAGGCTGCGGCTCCAGATTTCATAGCGTTGGATGGAGGAAGCAATCATGGTGAGGCTGAAGGTTTGAGTGATGAGGAGCCCGAGTTCCGAGGAAGGATTGGCTTTTTTGGCGAGAAAATTGGCGGTCATGACAAGAAAGGTGTCTTTGATGATTTTGAGGAGAGGCCAGTTCAAAAGGAGAGGGGAGTTGAAGTGGCTAGTGATGAAGAGGACGAAGAGGACAAAATGTGGGAGGAAGAACAAGTGAGGAAAGGACTCGGAAAGAGGCTGGATGATGGTGTTGGAAATCAAGGAGTGGGTGTTAGTGTTAATGGTGTTAGTGGTAATCTACCGAGTTTGGGCTACTTGGGCGCAGGGAATAGTATGACGCATATTCCTGCGAAAAATGTGGATGGTATAAGTAGTCACAGTAGTGTTGGAGGGACAGTTGTGAACATATTTGATACTGATGTGATGTCGATATCTCAGCAAGCAGAACTTGCTAAGAAAGCTCTGAGTGAAAACTTGAAGAGGGTTCGGGTATTTTGCTTGGTTTTCTTGTTTCTCGATTTTTCATGTTTCAAAATTGTACATATGTTTGGCATTTTTGGTATATTTGTACCTTGTGAATTTCTAAAGTATGGATTGATTTTTTTTGGATTGATTTTGTTTTTTCAGGAATCTCATGGACGAACTATCATGTCACTGGCAAAGACTGAAGAAAATCTCACTTCCTCGTTGCTGAATATTACTACCTTAGAGAATTCGCTGTCCGCTGCCGGTGAGAAGTTCCTCTTTATGCAAAAGCTTCGTGAGTTTGTTTCTGTTATATGTGAGTTTTTGCAGGTATGGACTATCCGTTTTATGAGTTTTGTTGTCCTTATAACTTACTTAGTCCTTTGAAGTGCATGTTTGGTGAGCTTTTGTGGAAAAGCGATTCTATCGTTTCACTTGTGTATTGAGATATAGCATTTTATAGCTTGCTGGTTCACAGCTGTGTAAATCCATTTCAACTACATTGACCGAAACACTATAAATATTAAAGAACAATGATTTGTTGTTGGGCTTACTTCTGTTGGATCTGGGTATATATGCGGCAACCTGATTTAATTTGATATCTTGGTTTGTAAAGTCATGCTCTATTCCTTTGAGGCAACACATCCTTCATTTTCATGAATGTTCTTGAAGGGGACAAACACAGCAATTTGGACAAGGATCTGAAACACAGTGTTGAATGGAATTATGGATGTGAATGAATTTGATTGATCATCTTTTACCTTTGTGTTTAATACATCACGGACACTCTAAACACCTGTTCATGCATATATAGCTTTTATCTGCTGCTAAATGTGAAGTAATATGCTCTCTTGTGAGGACCTAAACACAAGAACGTAGCAACCCAACCGTCTACACATCAGCCTCGCCTTCTTTTATCTGCAATCGTATGCTTGTAGTGATGTGTCTTGCCTTATCATTTTAAGCACAGTAAAAAGGATTGCTTTATTAACCTTGGCATTTTATGTTTTTGCAGCATAAAGCCCCTTTCATTGAGGAACTTGAAGAA